GGACCAAAAAGGCAACTCATAGAAATGAAGAGCACAAAGGGCTCAGGTGATACTGCACTCCAATTCAGGGACTGAGAATCTATCTAAGGTAAGCTGACCTTGATCTCACTTCTGACACCATTTATATCATCCTAAATAAGAGAGAGAGAGAGAGAGAGAGAGAGAGAGACTCCCTGAAAGAAAATGATATTTGTTTGAGAATGGACATTGCCATGGGAATACATGGGCAATCATAATCTATGTGCGTATTTAGGGAGGTAAAGGAAGAGAATGTTTTTCTAGAGGAAAATGAGGAAGATTACATAATTTTATTGATACATAATAGTCATACATATGGGGAACATGTGATATTTTTATACATGCATACAGTGTGTAATGAACAGGTAATTAGGATATTCATCACCTGAAACATTTATCATTTCTTTGTGTTGGGAGCATTAAAAATCTTCTAGCCATTTTGAAATATACAGTGAATTATTGTTAACTATAGTCACCCCACTTTGTTGTCAAAGGCTAGAAATTATTCCTTTTATCTAACTTTAGTTTTATATCCATTAACCTTATCTCCTCTCCCTTATCACCCTTTCTAGCCTCTGGTAACCAACATTTAACTCTCTACCTTCATGAAATTTACTTTTTTAGCTCTTGCATATGAGTCAGAACTGTGATATTTATCTTTTTGTGCCTGGCTTATTTCACTTAACATGATGTCCTCCAGTTCCATCCCATATTGCTGCAAATGACAGTATTTCCCTCTTTTTTATGGCTAAATAATATTATATACACACACATACACACACACACCCCTCATTTTCAATTCACATATACACACACACACACACACACACACACACACACATCCCTCATTTTCAACTCACGTATATGTATACATACACACACATACCCCCCTCATTTTCAATTCACATATATGTATACACACACATACACATCACACACCCCTCATTTTCAACTCATGTATATGTATACACACACACACACACACACACACCCCCTTCATTTTCTTTATTCATTCATCTATTGATGGACACTTAGGTTAAGTCTATACTTTGCTATGTAAATAGTGCTGCAATAAACTTTGAAGTGCTAAATCTGTTCAGTATACTGTTTTCTGGGGTTTCTGTATATTCTTTGTTCCTTTTTTGCTTTCTTATTGGTTGTTATTGTGATTTGGTGGGTTTTTTGTAATGATAAGCATTTATTATTTTCTTTCTCTTTGGAGTATCTTTTCTACCAGTGAACTTTCATGTTTTTTCATAATGATGATGATGATGATGATGATCTTTTTACTTCCAAGTACATGGCTCCCTTGACATTTCTTGTGAGGCCAGCCTAGTGCTGTTAAATTTCCTCAGTTTTTGGTTGCCTGGGAAAGACTTTATTTCTCCCTCATTTCTGAAGGGTAGCTTTGTTGGGTATATGGTATTCTTGCCTGACAATTTTTTCCCATACTTTGAATATGTCATCTCATTCTCTTCTGGCCTCTAAGGTTTCTACCAAGAAATCTGCTGTTCCTTTAATAGGGATTATCTTATTTGTAGAGAATATACAAATTATTATTTGATAATTTGACCACAGTGTACCTTGGAAAGGATTTTTTGGGTTGAATCTATTTGGGGACTTTTGAGCTTCCTGGATTTGAATGTCCGTATCTCCCCTCAGGCTTTGGAAGTTTCTAGCTATTATGTCATTAAATAGGTTTTTTTAAATACCCTTTACAATATCTTCTCTTTCTGAAATTTCTATAATAAAAATATTTGTTCACTTTATGGTGTCCCATAAGTTTTATATAGGCTGTCTTCAGTCTTTTTCATTCTTTTTTTTCTCTAACTGTATAATTTATACTGGCCTATATTCAAGTTCAGAGGTTTGCTTTCTTTTTCTCTCTTTCTGTTTTCTCTCTTTCTTTCTTGGTTTCTTTCTTTCTCCCTCTCTTTCTCTGTCTCTCTCTCTCATTCTCTCTCTCTCTCTCTCTTTTTCTTTTTTTTTTTGTTGGAGTCTCAGTCTGTTGCCCAGACTGGAATGCAATGGCACACAATCTTGGCTCACTGCAACCTCCGCTTTCCAGGTTCAAGCAATTCTCCTGCCTCAGCCTCCTGAGTAGCTGGGATTACAGGCGCTGGCCACCATGCCCAGCTACTTTTTGTGTTTTAGTAGAGATGGGGTTTTGTCATGTTGGTCAGGTTGGTCTCAATCTTCTGACCTCAAGTGATTCGCCCACCTCAGCCTCCCAAAGTGCTGAGATTACAGGAGCGAGCCACTGTGCCCAGCCAGAGGCTCTTTCTTCTGCTTGATAAAGTCTGCTGTTAAGCTCTCTATTGTATTTTTTATTTCATTCATTGAATTCTTCAGCTGCCGGATATGTTAGGTAAAATGATATCTCTGTTGAACTTCTTATTCATATTGTGAATTGTTTTCCTGATTTTATTGAATTATATATCTGTATTTTCTAGTAAATCATTGAATTTCCTTAAGATAATTATTTTTGAGATCTTTTTCCATCAATTCATTGATTTACTTTTTATTGGGGTCTGTTACTAGAGAGTTATGTTCCTTTGGTGATGTTAAACTTCCATGCTCTTTTATGTTTCTTGTGTCCCTGCCTTCATGTCTGTGGGTGAACCAATCACCTCTTCCAAATTTTCTAGAGTAACTTTCATTGAAAAAAGACTCATCTACAGTTGGGTCCTGGTGTGCTAGTTGGGAAAAATGTGGTGACTCTGTTTCCAAGTAGGTGCAGTTTTATAGTCTTTCTGCAGCTTCTTTGGCTGTGTTCAACATCAGTAATAACTATAGGCACCTCAGTGGTTTAGGCTGTAGGACTTTGTGGTAGCCATAGTGGCAGTGTTTATTGTTAGTATCCTCAGCAGCAAGGGCTTCTGGCTCCTCCTATTCTTATTTTCCCCACTATGGGGTCACTTAGCTGAGAGGATCCTTCTTGATGTCACGTCTGACCCAGCCTAGAAGCAATTGCAGTGGCACTGGTTCCAGAGGCAGGTGCTCAGAGGGGCTGTGGGGCCAGGGTTCTATGCTCAAGATCTCTCAAACCTTTTGTGATACTGGGGTTTGGGGGTACAGATTTGCTTTCTGTGGCAGCATTGGATTTAGGTTCCTCACAGAGCAAGGATATGTGACTCTGAGGTACCCCCTAGCAGCTTGGGTCCAGGAGGTTGGGTTGTAGCTGTGATTCTGCCCCTGGGAGGCAAGTCACAGCCCTGGCCTGACTCCAAGGAATAAGGGATACTCTGGAGGTTTTTGCCCAGGGCACAGGATATGGCTGCAATTTGGAAGCCTGAACCAATAGGGCTTGGTGGCAACTTGGGCCCCTGGGGATGAGGCACTGTGTAGTGGTGACAGATGGGGAAAGATGTAATAGTGGCTTAAAGCTCAGCTTAGGGATTTCAAGCTATGGGGCAGGGAAGATTCAAAGGCAGTTTAGTCTCAGGTATGAAGGACTGCCATGGCTACTTACACCCAGAGCAAGATACACTCCAGCAGTAATTCCATTTCCAAGATGGTGTGTTGGACAGTAGCCATGTGGGCACAGAGGGTGGGGCTCCTTCCCTAGAGGGAAGAGAGCTGTGTGGACTCCAGGAAGCTTCTTAAACTGGGCTTAAGTGCCTGTGAGGACCGCAGTGGTAAGGACTGTAGGTGTCAAAGGTGCTGACAGGGGCTGCTGGGATCCTTTTGCTTACTTTTTCCCTATAGAGAGAAGTTCCTCCAGGTTCCCAACTTATCCTAACTGGGGGATAGGGTGGTGGAAGTCAAGTGTTTCCTTCTGTTCTCTCTGTGACCATCCTGAATTTCTGTGCTCACCGGGGTTTCTGTTACTGTTCAGCTGTATTCCAGTGCCCTCCTTTAGTTATTTTCATTAAAACGTAATTATTTCAGCTGTCTTTGTTGAGGGCACAAGCACTAGGGACTTCTAGACAGCCATCTTGCTGGTGTCACTATCTGCATAATTGTTCTGAGATAATTATCCTTGGCTACAAGGATCAATAACAAGGGTGGTATCAGTCCAAGGCTGGACAGGCAATTACTTGGCAGATGTCCTCCCAGAAGCATTTTTTTGTGTCATGAAGTAATAGCCTTTGTGTAAAATTGTGGATTTCGCAGAGTCTTTTTTGATGGTTTTTATCAGGCATTTGTGCATGAGAACCCGTCCTTTATGACCTTCTCTGACTCCATTTTTCAAAGTTGTTTTTAACACAAGTGACCCCATTTTGATTCTGACAACTTTCACACCTATAAGGATTTAAAATTAAATCCTGCATCTTCTGACTTGAGATCTTCTGTAATAATTAAACATGAATTTTTTGCCACTGAACACCTAAAGCATTAGAGGCTCATACCTTAAGTCTTAGCACTTGATTATACATGTTGAATATCTCTTACTCAAAATTCTTTAGACTAGAAGTGTTTGGGATTTCAGATTTTTTCTGTTTTGGGAAAAAACTGGTATTTAATTTTCTACTTCATTGTATACCAACTCGCAGTACTCCCTAATGGTCTCCTATATGCTATATGTATCCATTACAAATAAATGCATGGAGTATTGACCCAGATAGACCTGGATCAGATTACAAGTTGCAAGATACTTAACCTCTTCAAGCCTGTATTTATTTGTCTGTAAAATTGATATAACTTGCAGACTATTTTGATTAAAAGATAATCTGTGTAAAAGCACCTGGCACAGTAAGTATTTCTTCTTCTTTCTTTCCTTCTTGAGAGGGAGGGCCCTATCAGTAATTCTTTTGTGTCTACTGCACTGTGACAGGGACACTGTAGAGATCCAAATAGATTTAATGAATAAAATAATAATGCCACATTCCATCACCAGAACAGAGTTTACTGTGGGCGGTATGTGTGTGTTCGACTGAATTTCCATAGTGATATCAAGCTTCTAAATCAAGAAAAACATTTTTTCTAATTTACTTTTTAAATATTTTAAGTAAACTTTATTGTGAATATCTAAGGTATACAACCTGATGTTAAAAGATATGCCTGTATAGTAAAATAGTTATTATAGTGGAACAAATTGACATAATCTCACATAGTTACCCATTTGTCCCCCCAACCCACCCAAGACAAGAGCAGCTATAAGATACTTTAGAAAAATTCCTGACTGCAGTACACTATTATTAACTGTAGTCCTCGTGTCGTACATTAAATCTTTTCACTTATTCATCCTGCATATTTGCTACTTTGTATCATTTGACCTATGTCTGTCCTGTCCCCGCCACTGCGCACTGCCCAACTCTGATCCTAGTAACTGATGTTTTATTCTCTCTCTCTCTCTGTCTCTCTCTCTCTCTCTCTCTCTCTCTCTCTATATATATATATATATATATATATATATATATGTCTTTTTTGACTGTTTAAAGACACACACACACACACACACACATATGTATATTCTGAGAGGAAAACAAACTTGGAGGCATCATACTTCCCAGTTTAAAATTATATTACAAAGTTATGGTAATCAAAACAGTAGGATACTGGCATAAAAACAGAAACACAGAGCACTGGAACAGAATAAAGAATCCAGAAATAATTTCAAAGACATATGGTCAACCAATTTTCAGCAAAGGCACCAAAAAGACACAATGGGGAAAGGATAGTCTCTGCAATAGATGGTGCTGGGAAAGCTAGATTTCCACTTGCAAAAGAATGAAATTGGTCTATATATATGTGTGTATATACATATATATATACACACATATATATATGTGTGTGTGTATATGTATACACAGTATTTCTGTGTATATATGTGTGTGTGTATATGTGTACACAGTATTTCTGTGTATATATGTGTGTATATGTGTACATAGTATTTCTGTGTATACACAGATATATGTTTGACTTTTTGTGTAGAGATGGGGTCTCACTTTCTTGACCTCAAGGGTCTTGAACTCCTGGGTTCCAGCAGTCCTGCCTTGGCCTCCCAAAGGGCTCGGGTTATAGGTATAAAACACCATGGCTGGCCAATATTTGATCTTTATTTAAAGATTCCATATATAAGTGAGGGATCATGCAATATTTTTCTGTGTCTGGCTTATTTCACTTAGCAGAATGTCCTGCAGATCCATCCATGTTGTGACAAATGGCAGGATCTCTTTCTCTTTTAAAGATGGATGATAGTCTATTGGGATACCTAGACTGTCTCCATTTCTTGGCTATTGTGAATAATGCTGCAATGAGCATGGCAATGCAGACACCTTTATGAGGTGGTGATTACATTTCCTTTGGGTATGAAAGGGAAGGACTTCTGCATCATATGGTAGTTCTACTTTAAATTTCTTTAGTAACCTCCGTATTGTTTTTCATAACGGCTGCACTATTCTACATTCCCATAAACAGTATACAACAGTATCCCCTTTTCTTCACACCCTCACTAACACTTGTTATGTTGTCTGTTTTAATAGTAGCAATCCTAACAAGTGTGAAGTGGTATCTCATGGTGGGTACTATTTGCATTTTCCTCACGATTAGGGATGTTGAGTACCTTTTCATGTACCTGTTGGCCATTTTTCATATCATCTTTGGAGAAATGTCTATTCAAGTCTTTTGCCCATTTTGTAATCAGCTTATAAATTTTCTTGCTATTGGAGTGTATGAATTATTTGCAAATCTTGAATATTAACCACTTATCTGATATACAGTTTGCACATACTTTTTCCTAATCTGTAGGTTAACCTTTCATATTTTATTTTTTTGAGAAGGAATCTTACTCCGTCACCCAGGCTGGAGTGCAGTGGCATGATCTCCAGTCACTGCAACCTCCACCTCCCGGGTTCAAGCAATTCTCCTGCGTCAGTCTCCCTAGTAGCTGAAATTACAGGCGCCTGCCACCATACCCAATTAATTTTTGTATTTTTAGTAGAGATGGGGTTTCACCATGTTGGGCAGGCTGGTCTCAAACTCCTGACCTCAAGTGATCCACCTGCTTCAGCCTCCCAAAGTGCTGGGATTACAGGTATAAGCCACCACGCCCAACTAGCCTTTCATATTTTTTATTGTTTTCTTCACTGTGTGCAGCTTTCTAGTTTGATATAGTTCCATGTATTTATTTTTGCTTTTGTTGCCTGAGCTTTTGGTGTGATATACAATAAATTATTGCCAAGGCCAATGTCAAGATCTTTTCTCCTGTGTTTTCTTTTAGGAGTTTTATTATTTCAGTCTTTGGGTATCTTATCCATTTTGAGTTGAGTTTTGTGTATGGTGTAAAATAAGAGACCAATTTCATTCTTTTGCAAGTGGAAATCTAGCTTTCCCAGCACCATCTATTGCAGAGACTATTCTTTCCCCATTGAGTATTTTTGGTGCCCTTGCTGAAAATTAGTTGACCATATATGTTTGAAATTATTTCTGAACTCTTTATTCTGTTCCAGTGCTCTGTGTTTCTGTTTTTATGCCAGTATCCTACTGTTTTGATTACTATAGCTTTGTAATATAATTTTAAATTGGGAAGTGTCATGCCTCCAACTATGTTTTTCCTCTCAGAATTGCTTTGGCTATTCGGGATCTTTTGTGAATCAATACAAATTTTATAATTGCTTTTCCTACCTCTGAGAAAAATATCACTGGGATTTTGATAGGGATTGTGTTGAAAAAAAAAATATATATATATATATATAAAGCTTTAGGTTGTATGGCCATTTTAACAATATTAATTACTCTGATCCATATGAGCATTTATTTGTATCCTTTGTATCCTCTTAATTTCTTTCATCAGTATTTTATAGCTTTCAGTATACAGGTCTTTCACTTCCTTGGTTAAATTTATTCCTAGCTATTTTACTTGTTTAATGCTATCATAAATGGGATCGTTTTCTTGCTTTTGTTGGTGTTGTTGTTATTGTTCAGGTCGTTGGTCAATAAATATTACATTTAGATGAAGCATGTGTTAGCTTATATTTGTAAAGCTGATTTAAAATTAAAATAGTGCCATTCCCAAGGCAATATATTTCAGTAACACAGTGCTGATCATAATGTGAGGACTTAGCAAGTTGTAGCTGACACAATGAGTCCTGTTCCAATAGATAAGTCAAGGGTTTGGGGCAAGTCCTATGAGGGTCAGCTGAAGTCACGAAGATGGAATGGCCAGATTTGCCTCCCGGCTCTGCAGGAAACATTTGTGCTTGATGGTGAAGGTTTTGGTGGTCTACTGCAAAAATGAGAGCAGGAATATTGAAGAGGAACAGAGGTCATAAGGATGTTAGTATAGCTTTCTCCAAAGACTAAAACAAAAATAATTGCCACAGTTTGTTCAGGCAGCCAGCACTTCCTGGTTATCTCCATTGGCCATGGGAAGTTAGGGCTAATTGATTCTCTAAGAAGAAAGACAAGTTCCACTTTTAAACCTCATAAATTAATATAAATGTTCACCATTCTCCACTAAAAAGTCAGGAATGTACTTCATAGTTTCAATATAAATATTAAATATTAAACAGCAACATTGTATCATTTAGGTTGCCAATTCTGAGCCAGGAATTCAATAGATTTCTACTCTGAAGACATAAAAGTAAATGCCTCATCACTGTGCATATCTGGCATGCTCTGTCACAGGAATATAGGAGAAATCTTTGCAGAAGGAAATGAAAACTCATAGAATTCTTTATTTCAAAGCAGCAGGATATAATCTAGGGTTAGAAAAACATATGAAGTACTGATCAGTAGAGACTGTTTTCTTTTCTCTTTTCAAAAACTATTATTCCTGTCAGAAAGGTATTATAATTAATTTCATGGCTTCTCTAACATCTTATTAACCAGAATAACCTTGAATGCCAAGTAATTCTGAAGGCAAAATGAAAACATTTGTGATAACACATAGTATCATTGCCTAATAAAGAAAAGGAATTAGAACTCAGGTGTGGTCCATATCTGGTATGTCTTGGTGCCTTAAAAGACAGGAAACTGTTGTTAATAAGAAACCAAAGAACCTTTTGGGATTATTGTGTATTTACAAAAGGGTCAGGTAGTATGCAAAAACCTGGAAACCCAGTCTAAAGTAAACATAGGCTTATAGGCTTATGCAAACTTAAATGTGTGTGGTAGGAGAGACGTGTGTTGAGGTTGATCTTTGTTCCTCAGAGGTAGTTGCCAAGGAGCAGAAGTTACCATTGTCCAGCCATTGTCCAGCCAGTCTTAGGGCACCAACGAGCACAGGAGGGAGGCTGACAGGCAGCTAAGGGCGGCTCGGCTCGGGCCTGCAGGTACCCCTTGACATGAACAGCTTGGGCACTATGGACAGCAAGTTGATGGTGGTAGGAAGCAGACAGGCCAGGCCCCTGGGTGAATAGGGGCAGGTCCCTGTGAAGCCCCACCTTCATACTAGGGATGGCCTGAAGTTTGGGGGCCAGGCTGCCAGTTCCACAGACTGGAGTGAGAACTTATGGTGCTCTTTCCAGGCCCAACCATGGCCACCCATGGGCCAATCAACATACACTTCCTCCCCTCTGAAGCCCATAAAAACCCCAGACTCAGCCAAACTTGGGCAGACGATGGGACAACCTGTCTGCAGATAGGAGACACCCACTCCAGTCTCCTCTCTGCTGAGGGTTACAGAAACATTGAGACAACTTGCCTGCAGGTAGGAGATACCACCCTGGTCTCCTTTCCGCTGAGGGCTACAGAAACATCGGGATGTCCTGCCTGTAGATAGGAGCTACCCGTTTCAGGTCTCCTGAGAGCTGTACTGTCGCTTAATGAAGCACCTCTTTGCCTGCTCACCCTCCAGTTGTCCACATACCTCATTCTCCCTGGTTGCAGGACAAGAACTTGGGACCCTCCAAATGGCAGGACTGAAAGAGATGTAACACAAACAGGACTGAAACCTGCCCTTAACTCACCACATTTCAGACAACAAGAAGGAGGGAAGAGAGGAGAGAAGAGCTATGGCCCTTTGGGGAGCCCAAACTTAGGAACTTCCTGAGCCAGGGCTGTGACACCCTCTCTGGGGCTTTGTAGTTCCAGTGTCTCTGA